AAAGGCACAGCGTAGACTCCACTGAGCTGCTACAGCTGGGCTGCCTCCAGGGTGTGCCTTGCCCAGACACGGAATAGTCTCAGATGCCCAAAATCCCCAAGCAAAATGTCTCCACTGCCTCCCCATGTCAATTCTCCAGCAGAGCTACTTTGAAGGTAGCAATAAATACACTAAGAGACACAGGATGCTCAGAGGCTGAGTGATTTATGAGAAAGAAAGTGCTCCTCAAATGCTTGATGCTCATTTGCATCCAGCCAGACAACAACCGTACAGATTGTTTTCACAGCACTGTGCGTGAGAGTGCACCAGGACCTGAATATGATAGTGTGTTTAATCTTCACATCTAAAACCACACAGCATTCCTCAGGGCCTACGGTAAGGAGGCCTGCTGAGGATTTGATATACTGAGAGTGCTGCTCACTTATATTTCGGATGCATTTTTCCAAGGCATTTGCATTTCAGAGTCACTCTGAAACCTACAAGCCAATGCTTGTACAACCACAGGGTAAATAAAGGCCAAAAACAATCAGGTTTTTTATGGGGCAGTGGAAAGCAAACTACACAAAGTGCTTGGGCAACTTGACTTCTTCCCTGGAGAATAGTGATGTCAGGAGGGTTTCTAACAGGCTGAACATGAGCTGAATGCAGTGCAGAGCCACCATCACCTCCAGGGGGCTGCTTCTCCCCCCCAGCAGCCCTCCTGCTGTTCAAGGGGGATGGAGATGCTCAGGGCTCCGAGGAATGCCTTGTATGTCTCACTGCTGCTTGCTGGAGGACGCTGACATGGTCTGGGACAGAATTAGAAAACCTTGAGCAGGAGGGCAACCGGGCACAAGTGCTAAGTCAGCCAGAGGCTATAAGTGGCACACCAGTTGCTGCCTCCCCTCCCTCCCAGCTCAGGGTGCATGTACACACACTTCCCCCAGCCTTTCTCAAGCATTTCCCATGCAGGTAAAGGGCAAACGTGCTCTCTCAGCCCTCCCATAACCAAATCCTCTGCATCAGACTTGCGTTTTCAGATATTCATTCCCTTGCCTGCTCCTCTGAAGTCATTTGACTTCAGCCTGCACTACTGATATCCTGTGTTCAGCCTATCTGTGCCTCACACCACACTTGGAAGAGCCAAAGGGCAAATCCTTCCTCCTTAAGCATACCCACTGTCTCCCTCAGGCTGGCAGAGCCCTTCACTTGTGCCCATAAGCCAGCCCTGGTGTTAGGCAGACACCTCATCTCCCACCAGCTGTAAATCCAGCACTGAGGAGTGGTCACACTCCTGCAGTCACTTCCCCCTGCCTATCCAAGGACAGGGGAACCTTTTGTCTTAAAGAGCTTTTGGGAAGACTCGCTCCCCTTTCTGAGCTGTAGACAAAAGCTAACAGAAATGCACAGCTATATGTCTATACTGAGAAACTCACAGAGGACCTCATTTGACCAAGACAGCCGCAAACATGCTGACCTAACCATTTATCGTGCAGTTCCTCCACAGAAACTTGTGTCCCAGAGCTGCCAACGCCTTGGAGCCAGCTCTGCTTCCCTGTATCAAAAGCACCTCACACTGACAACGCCAAATCACTGATAGAATAATTAGGTGCTTTAGAATAATTAGGTTGTACACGGTCAGCATTGCTGCCTGAAGAGAACACCTTGATAATTTGCCGGCAGCAGATCTCTGGTTTGTTACCTTAAACACACAGTGAAACAAGGGAGAATCAAAGCAGACAAGTGGGCTGACCAAGGTAGTGATCACCTGTTGAAGAGAGCACAAGAGCCTCTGCAGCATCTTGATGGAGAAGAATGCATGGTGAAATGGAATATTTACTCCCTCAAACTCACTATGAATTTGAGTAACTCCAATAACTGCCTAACAGCCCAGTTGCCTTCTGCATCTGGTTACATTCTTGTCCCCAAGTAGTTCCCCTGGCAAAGAGTTCCACAACCTCACTGGCGCAGGAAAAAACACGGCTCCAGTGTGTTAGTTCTGAATTCCCTTGTTTCGTTTCAGCAGGGTTCTCCCTGGACCCCCTTGTAGGTCCTGTGGCTTTGGGTAATGGGATCACCTCCCACTTAGTGATGGAATACAATAGGTGGTTGTACCTGGGCGCAGCTTCAAACTGTTGCCGTGTTTTTCAAAGCTCCACGCTTGCCAAACGGTACATGTATGCTTATGGCTTCTCCTGCTGACACTGCAGCCCCCCAACCTTCGCTGGAGGAATGCAGCAAATACTCAGTAGCAACAGGTGTCAGACAGGAGTTCATCACAGAAAACTAAGAGCATGCCAGACAGCTGAAACGATAACCGGGTATGGGACAGCAAAATGAGACCAAACTAAATGCATTTTCAAGTATTTTAGACAGTAAAATGCAAGAGGCTCAAAGGGAGCATCCAACAGCTCTGTAGCTCGCTCACTGCCCAACATAAGGGAGATCCAGCCTCCTATTCTGGTGCTGGAATTTAAGCCAGCACCTCCCTCCTTCAAAAGGAGCAACCAGCTTCCTGAGCTATATACAATCCTCAGGCAGAGCCACCCTTGTTGAGACTAGATCAAAAAGGCAGAGACTTAAAAGGAATTGCAGAGGGATCACAGACCTTCCACTCTGGTGCTGCAATCAGTATCCATCTCTGTGACCCAAGCCTGGAAAAACAACGTAATTCATTTCAAAAGTGTCAGAATGAATCACATCAATGCTCCAGAAGGGAAAACAAAAACACACACACCTCCATTTATTAAATCAACTGAATCTGGCTCAAATGCATAAAGTTTTGTGTTGGCCAGTAACTGTATCTTTATAAAGCTTTTCCAAAACCAGGCAAGCATCAAAGCATGTGGACCCAAGGCCGTGTTTCCATGAGCGACAGGATTAACAGAGCAGCACAGCCAACAAAAGGCTTCTCCTTTGCTAGATTTTTGGGGCCTGATGAAACCTGAAGCCCTCTTCCCACTCATGATGCCTCTCCCCTGCTGCAGGATTCACCCCCAGGAAGAAGGCAGCCCCACACTCCCAGGAGCTGCGCACCCGACAGGGCAGATGCCAGCAATATCTCACATCCTCAGCTGCTGCTTTCCCTTAAAAGTGGATCTGGGCAAATCCCAGCAAGCGTGAGGCTGGGGGTTTGCTCAAGTGCTTGTGCTCACAGGAAGAGGCTGCTAACAGCAGAGAGGAGCCGTCCTGCTGCAACAGCTGGCCTCAGAGCACAGGGACACATCTCCACGCTTGGCTCCCAGGGGACAGGCAGGCACACAGCCCACACACTCCCGGGGATGTCCTGGGGCACATCCAAGCTTGCTGGGCAGATAAACCCACAGCCTCCTATCCCAAAGGCAGAAACATCAGGTTAGGGATATCAATTCTGTCTCACAGGTAAAATAAAGACCTGCCATCCCCTGCCTTCTTCACACTTACCCTCTCACTTGATCAATATACTATTATTTTGTGGCAGCTACTTAGAAAACCTCCTCTTCTGGTGACTTGATGTCCCAGAACATTTGGCTGCTTAGGCCACGCTGTGCAGAATCAGCATTAAATTCATGTTTCATTTTTAGAAACCTGCCTTTTTCATTTTAAAATATATTTAATAGTGGCTTTTGGGCTTATTTCATTGCAAACCTCAGGTTACTGCAGAAGTTACTGGATTGTCACTGATTCTTCCTTGCCAATACTTCTAGTTCTCACAGTGTAGAGACGTACACACACACAAAAAAAAAAAACAAAAAACCACAGATTTCCTATCAAGTTCCATCTCCAGAATTCATTTCTGGTGGTGGACTTTGCCAAAGGTTGGTTTGAGCAACATAAGAGATGGGCACCATACATCAAAGGCATCTAGGCTCTCAACACTGCTCAGCATAGTTCATGTGACAGAAATAACCGCTCCATCAAAGGCCTTGCATTTGCTAGCACAGAGCTCCTGGAGGCTGGAGAATGAATGGTAAAGGGAAAGGCAGACAGCAGCCCTGGGTTTCTCTGCAGAAGATCTTAATCATACGCAACAGGGGAAACTATCAGGTTCAAAAGAGTTAGAAAAGCTAATTTGTTGTGCTGAAAGGAGTCTGATGAGAACAGAAAGGCTCCTGCTCAAAGCTGTCTCCCAGTGAGACCAAGGGAGCACAGAGAACCATCTAGAGATGGAGGGGTAGAAGGATAAACATGGGAAAAAGGAAGGGCAATCAGACAAGGAGAGAGCAAAAATACCTCCGGTGGCTGCTGACTGGTTTCTGATCATAACTACTTTCTAACGAGGAAACCTTCTGTGGGGGAAAATATCATCCAGCTGACCTCCAGTCATCAGGAGCTCAGCTTATTCAAAGGAAAGGAAAAAAGATCAAAGGAAAAATTTAAGCAGTGTCTTAACGTGATAGAAAGGAATCATGAGAGCAGCTGAGAAATGCTCAGGGCCCGGACAGGCGCCTTGGCTAAAGGTACTGCAGCATTTTCCTTATTTGTCTGCTTTATTTTTAAACACCCAGAGCCTTTGCTTGATCAACATCGCCCTGTAAATGAAGGAAGCAGAGGAGTGCAGGACTCTGGGGAGAGAGGCAAACAAGGTTGGAAATTGATGATCTTCCAAGCCATGAAAGTCAAAATGCCTGCTTGAAACCAAACCCTCTGGAGCACGACACAGGCATGGGGCAGAAGGGGAGGGAAGGAAAGAAGATTTATTACTTCAGCAGAGTTGAAATTCTGATGAGAAAAAAGAACCGTTCAATCCATGCCCGAACGGCAACAGCAGACCTGAAAGCGGATTTGTCACATTTCCCCTCTACTTCTCATAAACTTTAAAGAACAAAAAAAAAAAAAGCAGAGGAGGTGGCTGGAGTTTTTAAAGGGAGGGAAAAAAGCCTCCGAAGTCCCTTGATCTTCTGAAGCCCTGAACTCTTATATTCCATTTATAGCCCGAGCTGGAATGACACCCCCCTTGATTAGGGACTGTCCAATCCAACTGCATGTGTCAGGATTGTACAAGGCACTAAGTGAAATATATATATGCCCTTATAGAGTTTAGCACACTGGGTCCACCTCCAGGGCACAGGCTGTAGCTCATTCCGACCACTGCTTCTCTCCCAGGAATCGTTTTCAGGGGGGGTCTTCAGGTTTTTTGGGGGAGCCACCTTCACTCTCAAGTTTAAGCAACACAAAATGGCACCTAAGAAGGACGTTAAGAAACCAGCAGCAGCACCAGCACCAGCACCCGCACCAGCACCCGCGCCAGCGCCCGCTAAACCCAAAGAACCAGCAATCGATCTCAAGAGCATCAAGGTAATGGATGAACGCGTGCTGATGGCTGACCCCAAACGCTCCCAAGAGGGAAAGTTAGCAGAGTTCTTGCTGAAAGCCGCAGTGAAATGTTGTGTGTGTTTGGTTCCCGTCTGGGGACTGCAGTGAAGTGACTAAGTAACCCTCAGGCAGTGGATTTCTTGAGCTGCTGAGCTTTTGGCTGTTTTGGTAGCTTGGAGGGGTGTGAGGCATGGCGCATGATTTAACTCAAGAGTGGAGCTTGGTGACTTCAAGCATATTGTGGAGGGTCACCCTCAGAACTTCTTACCAAACCAGTATCAGCCTGACTTGTTTAGTAAAGCTGAATTTACAAAGTTCCGCTAAAAACAAACAAACAAAAAACAACCCCAAGAAAACCCATGAAAATTAATCCCCCAAACCCTGAAGTAGGTGCATGAAGACTGGAAAAGGTTACTGGAACTTGGAATGAAACGCTTTCCCACAGCATGGCACTAAAAACAGATGTTATTTTGCAATTTCTCCTCAAAGTTCTTCCCAAATTTTTGCAATCACTCAATGACCCATTGGGCATGTGTTTTAAGATCAGCACTGCTTGTCTTTAAAAGCAGCAGAGATTAAAAAGATTCGGCAAGTTCACTTAATTTCATTTTCTCTGTACAACCAACACTGAAAAACACTGTGAGCTAGAAAGCCATGAATGCAAGTGCTTCAAGTTATTTCCTCTCACCTTTTCGTAATTGCTCAAAAATCACAATTTGCTGCAAACTGAGAGTAAGGAAGAGGAAAAGGCTTCCACAGGTTTCCCTCTGTCTGCATGCCCGTTGGAACTCATTCTGAATTTAGACTTTGCATGCCATCCAGCATCACCGATCTTGGCCGTAACCCTCTGAAAAGAATTCCCCAAGCACTCCTCAAAGGGAAATCTCTATTTAGGAAAGAGTAGGGGGAGGTTAAGCAGTTAAAGAGATGAAGGGACAGACCTACTTCTCTGGGCTTGACTATAAATAGTTGTTCTCCACCTACCTGACAAGCTGATTGGTCCTGGGACCAATTTGTTGATAAGGAATCATGCCTACTATGAAGAAAAGAAGGAGTACAAGGACTCCTAATAGGACCTACTCATTTTAATCTCACAATGAATTCTGTTTAAGGTGCCTGAATACATGCAGCCTGTCATCAATACAGTCCCAGGATTATGACCCACTTAGTGAAATTCCTGAAGTTGCCTTTGATTTTCACCACCGGTAGCCAGTATTCTGCTGGAACAGCACATAGCTCCTCCTAAGATTGAAGCTGAACTCACTAGCAAAGCAAAACAAGAGCAAGAGGGGGGAGGAAAAAAAAAATGGAAATATTGAAAACAATCTTAGTGAAAGCCACACAAAAGCCCACTGTTTTTGAGAATACCATCTAAAAATTAGATTAGACTTCACATTTTGCTCATCTCAAAAATGAAGGGGAACACAAGCTACATTGCCTGTGAAGTCATTTACTGTGATTTGATAGCTCTCTATGTCCAGTTCATTAGGAGAAAATAGAATTTTCAACTTCAGTGATCTCAGCTAATCTATCTTAACATAAATAGACCTAATAGTATATTACCAGCTAAAAAAATGGCAGTCTGCAGTCTAAGACAATCCAACTCACTCTTCTGCACAGACAGCTCTCCTCTACAGCAAGGGATATATGCCAACAGCAAAAAGAGAATGCTCTAGGTTTTATCAGATCCAATATGACAAAAGAGAGTCTTCTTAAATCCTTTTTTCTGATAGATCAGACAACGTTATTACTCTTTGAAGTGTGGAAAAACCTGGGCTAGCAAAACTTTCTTAACACTAATGGTAACACACAAGCATTACTATTGCCATTTGCAAATGAGTGAAGCTATGAGCAGCATGATGGAGGACGCAGGTCTGCCCTGCAGTGTGGCTGGCACAATCTCTGTCCCACCACGGCCTTAGCAGGCCAGGGCCAGGAAGCAACACAGTGCTGCAACACAGGCACAGAGAGCCCCCAGCAATGAAGGGCCCACCCAACTGCATGGCGATCACCACGAGGTGATGCAGGAGCCCACATTGTCTGTCAAGGGGACAGGTCCCTTCAGTCCCAAGCCTTTGCCCCACACCTGGACCTCCACGGCAGTCCAGGGTTGCTCAGATGGACATGGCACCTGCAGGATCAGCTCTTTGAGCACACAATAGGAACAACCACAGTGCTTTCGGCACGGTGTCTTGCAGCAGGACTGGACAACCTCCTCAAGTGCCAGCCAGCCAGCCATCCTGGATTACCCATTTTCACTCGCTGACACCTCAGGAAATTAGGGGAAATAGTCTTCTCTTCTAACCAATTTGACCAGGAGATGTATGTAATTGGATACAGAAATACACTCTCTCTGACTTTTAGCTCAGTCCCTTCTTTTAGCATTAATGAATCCTGAATCCTTCCATTCAACCAGCAAAGCGTCAGCACAGAAAAAGGCACCGCACCACTTCCACCAAAACTTAAGAGCCAGACAGTACCTAAACCTCAGCTTCTGACCAGGACTCTCTTCTGATCAGCACCCTCTTCTGGAGCTCTTGTGCTGATCTACCAAGTGTGGAGTCAAAGCCCCAGCACTTTCAACAGCAATATCAAATGGGCTCCCCAATGCTCACCAGGGGAATTATCAGTCATCTCAGAGCTTGCTGCAAACAAAGGATTCCTGGGATTACCGGGCTGTGGGGCCAGCAATGTTCTGGAGAGTCACCAAGCCAGTAGACACACAGAAAGGCTTTCTTAATTTTTACATCCAAGCTCCCTCTATTCATTACAGCTGGAGTGGGTAAGGGTAGAGCTGCCAAATCAGGGTTTACATCAGCCAAATAACCAAATCTGGCAGCGCACCTCGTTTTCAGTGGGTATCAAAAACCATAATATTCTCCAAAACAAACAAGAAAGAGGTTACCCAATATTGCTGATCATTCTTTCGGGGATATTCCTCCCCTCAAACGCCTTGCTTGGTCATTATGCAGTCCTACCTTGAGCCTCTTGGGATGCACGCTTTATAAGCCAAGATTAAGAAGTCTTAGACTGGATTCTTGCAAAAATAAGTACACCCAAAATCACCTAGCATCCTCAGAAGAGGCAATGGGCCTTTCATCTTCTCTTGTTATTACTGACTATTCTTTCCATGGACACTTTAAATTAACCCAGTTGAAGGAAATGACTTAGTAACATACTAGCAGCTAGTGTGAGATTTGCTATTTTTGAGCACCATCTATTGACTAAAACCCTGAGTAACAGGAATATCAGACTGCTGAAGACTCAAGTCTCAGCCTTTCCCTCAGCTCACCCTAGGTTATAGTGCAACCGGGACAGAAAGGAAATCAAGGCAAGGACTGAGAACAGGAGGAATTCATTTCGATGTCAAAGATTAAAGACCTTTTTTCCTCTACTCAAGGAACATCAACTCTGAATTTGCTTCGCGTAAGCCTTTCAAGTCTAAATTTATATTTCCCTTTTCCAAAAGCGTGTCCTGGGACTTTAATGTCAAATACAAAGGTTAAGAATTAAATCACTGACAGAAGAAGAACAGAGTGATGCACACATTGGAATATTACACTGGACTTCAACAGGAACCAACCATGATTAAAAGAATATACAACCATTTGAGTCATTTTGTTAAGAGACTCTGGAATTTAGTACTTCAAACTGTAGGGAAGGATATTCCCCCAAAAGTTAGCTCATCTGTTTTGTTAACTTTCTTCGCATGTGCATGCCTCAGAAGGTCTGAGCTGATGAACAGCACTACTATGGAACATTTACAATGAGAACTTCTCAGGTGTTTGGTTTTGCAACAGAAGGCTAAACCTCAAAATGTTCAAACCAGAAGCAGGTAGACAGTGTTTCCTCATGTTTAACTCTGTCCCTACCACTAACGTGAAGCGTGTGCTGCTTTTTTTCTTCTGGAATCTTGAAGGGCCCTTCCCAGCACATACATCCAGTCCTTGGATCAATAGCAGCCTTGCATCACTGACCACAAGGCTTTGGGATCTGGAGATGCTGAGCTCAGTGCTTTTCTTTGTAGTGATTTGGATGCATAGCACTTTGATCCAGTGTCACACCAGGTCCTTTTCTTAGAGTACACCTGAGTGTATTTCCCAAGTACCCATGGTGTAACTGATGCTCCTTTTTCACAGTGGTGTTTTCAAGGAGACTGATTATGCCGTACCCTATTGCAGATACACTAGCTGCATCTTTGGGGGAAAGTAACTCATAATTATCAGCTAACAGATATTTGCTAAGGCCTTGTGCAACTGCGTGATGCATGACAAAGCCTGCTGCATGGATGCAAGCCTGTGTGATTGTGTTGTTTTTAAATACAGAGCTCTTAAGACTACAAAAAGCGTTTCTCCAAATGTCCTTAACTCTTAATATGTTCAGTACTCAAGAAGGTCATCTCTGAACATGCACTGCATTGGATATAACCAGAGAGGTAAACTCACTAAATGCACTGACAGAAAACTGCTGGGCTGGAGGGCGAGCAGGGCTGCAAATGTCAGCTCAAGTGCTCAGAGAGCAATTGCACTGCAGACAAACTCCTTGTGAAGTGGCAGAATGAGAACAGCAAGGTTAACAGTAGCTTTGCTCATAGCATTAAGGGCTTTCTGAGAAACTGGCAGGTTCCTGGCTGAAATTTTTGGCTCAGGCCTTTAGGTTATGCCTGACCCAACACCAGTGACACTCCAGATTCTTTGGGATGGATTTAGCTACTAGACAAGGTCACTGGTCCTAAGCGCCCTTCAGGTAGGAAGGAGACAAACACCAATAAGACCTCACCTTAAGAGACATTGAATTATCTCCCCGACCATCCAGACCAGCTTCCTGAAGTGCTGTTAAGCAAGGAGCCCCGCAGAAATATATTTTGTCCATATATTTTAGGAAACACTGTCTTTAAATGGTTTTTCAGGTTAGCAAAGTAATGGCTTCCCCTCCCCCCCCACCTATCCCCCCCTTCTTTTTTTTTTTTTTAATTTCAAACA